ACGGATGGCACAAACTTAACCGACTACCCAGCTATTAGTGCGCAGCTGTATAGCATTTGTGGCATAGGATACAGGAATCTAATGCCTCAATCACGATGATAGCCGTTTATTTGTACATTGTCAGCTAAAAACATGAAGAAGAAACATGAAAAAAATTGTGCAAGAAGCAAACCTAATGTGTAGCATGTAGTTACACTTTGCATAAGCAATAAAGATTGAAATCAGCTGGCTGGATCTTCTTTCGTAGCATACTCTTCAATCTTATTCTAACTGAGAACCACTTTTCTGAAACCTTCACCTACATTTGGACGGTCAAAACCTCAAAACCCGTATAGTTCACTAGTTTTTTTTTATTGGAAGGTAACACCTTCGGCCGCATTTATGCAGAACTATATAACAATGAAATGGGACAACAATATCAACTTTAACAAGTATTAAGAAATAAAAAAATTTTGAAAAAACACTTTATTTAGTTATTTTCCGAAATCTCAGATCATATTGTTATTTTTGCACATATTAAAGTATATTAAACTGTGCTAATTTTTATTTTGACTGCTCTTTCGCTTTATGATATTTCTTCTTGGGCTTTCTGAAGGCATATCTGCTAGCTTCCACGCGTATGACAGCACTTTGTATGCCTAAATGGCAAAGCAGAAGAATTTTCCTTTCACTTTCCATTGATTTTCTCGACTTACAACTTCGTAATCCGATTTAAATTGGTCCTTCTCAGTTTTTATCTTCATCAAGGGCACAACAAGGTTTTCCACTATGCTCAGGAGCTCATCGCTGAGAATAGGTAGAGCTTTGATAAGTCGAAGATATTTTGCACGATGTTGTTTCCTTCTCTTCTCTCTTTTAGCGATGTAATCAGTCACTTTATCCTAAATATCATTACGTGTTTTCATTTTCTAGTAGTTCTGAACATTCTGACTTTATTGCAGCAATTTTGAAAAATTTCTACACTCCACTTTTTGGGGCCAAAAATCAAATTTTTGAATCACCTCAATTCCATACTTCTTGCCCCACGCTATGAACTTCTCCTTTAGCTGGTTATAAGTCAGGTCCCATCTTTTTTGCATTTGCTTGTATTCCTTCTGGGCTACGCCGGAC